ACGATATCAAGCATTACTATCGTCAAAGTTTTATTATGAAATTTGTCGTCAAACTTTACTATCACAAATGTTACAACATAATATAATATTAACATTCCAGAACTGGTTTTATTTATAATTATTTTTCTCCAATTAGTAACTCCTGCAAGTGTTTGATGATTACATGCAATCAGAACATTTTATTTGCTTATTTTCCTTTTTAATGATAAACTGATGTTTGGCTTATGCGACAGATTATGGTTGGCAGTTATTCTATTACTATTAACTATTTGTAGATTTAGATATTATTAGATGGTTGTAACAACTGTTATCAATACATTGTAGTATTAAATATGCAAAATTGTTTGTAGATATAACTAGTGAATTTCGGGAAAGCTAATTTGTTGAATTCGTTTTTCAGCGATATAGATTTGTTCGGGATGTAATATTCTTCTTGCATAATATTACTAGTTAACAACAAAAATGGTGTAATATATATGTATATATACGAGTCAAATTGGTATACAATGATAAATTATACAATAAGCAAGCAATATGATTAAGTGACAAATTCCTCGTCGCTGCCTTCGATAATAATTTGATTGTCGGTTAGTTGATAGGTCGTTGAGTTGGGGATATGTTACGGGAAATGTATTTAGCGAATAGAAATATCGTTTCATTAATTCTCATTAATTTTTAAAAGACTTCTTTCTTAAAACTTTGTTTCATATGCGTTACAACATGAATATTAATTCGTTAGAAAACATGATTTTACATATGAACAAAAATGAAACTACAAAATATTCGTCTAATTAATTTGTCGCCGAACTTGAATTTAATCGTTTCCTTAGCAGTTGAAATGAAAATTATAAACAACTTGAGGTTTACATATGGCATATCGAATATGAAAGCAAATAAATTGAAAGTCTCGATTTGTATAGCATTAAGAAATGTATTTGCTATAAAGTAATTATTGTAAAATGTGATTTGAAATGCGGAAGAATTACACGTTAATTACTTGTCCAACATTTGTAATAAATGGCTAACAAAACTATTAACTTGAATTGTTTTGTAAATTGAAAGAAAGTTTTAATAAAATGATAAAATTTGGTAAATTTTCCGAGGTTAACACAAATTTTGCCTGTTATTAATACTTTAACCAGTTACATTGTTTACTAACATTTAACAAGTTATGTAATGAAAGATGTATTGTCAGGCTAATTTCAGGATTGAAAAAGTAAATTGATCTGAGTTGAATGAATGAATGAATCGATTAATTAATTAATTAATGAATCAGTGAATGAATGAATAGGATCGAGAATGATTGGAGTAATAGTCAGCTATTATTTGGAAAGATGTATTATATTTAAACAACAGTTTCTCCTTTAATAAAAAAAAAAAAAAACCAAAAAATAAAAAAAAATGATAGTTAATAAATTACTGTCACTACTACTACTACTAGTAGTAGTAGTAGTACTATTACCACTACTATGCTATCGCTCTCATTACTACTACTGCTTAACATCCTTGTAATTCGATCAACATATGAAATTAAATTAAAATGATAATACTGACTAATGAATGCAAAAAAAAAGCGAAAAAATTTTACATAATTTGATAAAATCTTAAATTCTCCTTTTCTATTCTCTTCCTTTGGCATAATTTTCAATTTTGTAGTACATGTTTAATTTAAAATTTAAATGTAAGTAATTAAAAATACAAAAATATTTGAAATTTTTTAGAAATTTAAAGCTTGAATTTCGAAAGGAATTTGTTCAACGATAATTTTATTTCATGCATAATTTTATAAATTCATTTCTTATTTATCAAAAAATGTCACAGCATCATTCTTGGACCTTTTTTTTTTTTTTTAACTGGAACACATTTACCAATGTTAAAAGTAATAAAATTTTTTTCTACTAATAATATTCAAACTAAGGTTGACGTCATTATTGGCGTTTAAATTGAATTTAATTAATTCATTTCAGATTGTTTAAAATGTTATTTCTGATAGTAATGTTTGCAGCAACTAAAGTATTACAATGTGAAATTACTTGTGAAATACCAAATGGTATGAAATCTAATTTTACATGGATTCCATGTTCAAATGGGCCGATTATCTATCACAATATAACGCTTCTGGATGAAAATTGTTTGCTTGTTCTTTTTTTTTTCTTTTTTAAAAAAAAAACAAATTGCTATAAACTATTCGCATATACAATAATGCATGCAATATTTATTTCACATTATGAATAGAGCTTTTATGGATATGGAATTTCCACCGGATTTATCCGATATTTTATTGTACTGTTCGAATTTGTATTTGCACAGGAATTTAATTAATCATTATTGATTATTCATAACCTATCCTACTACAATCATCCTTCTTAATTTGTTTCTGTACAGAATATAAATTAATTGATAGATTTGGAAATTTATTTATTATTATTCAACTACAACATAATTTGAAAATATTGAAAACAAAAAAAAGAAATTAATATTTGAAGTCATCATTAAATTTGTAAAAATTTTAAATTTTCAAAACTAAAAAGAAATTTTTTTTTTTTTGCAGACACAAAAATATATTCGATCGTTGCAAGAAAACCATTTATTATACTGGCTGATATAACAAATACTGGTAAACAATATGATAATTTGAAATCATCCATTAAACTATACAAATGGGGCGGATGGCTTGGCTGTAAATGGCATCGAATTCCAACTTTTGGAATACTGTAAGCTACCATAATACTTATCCACATCATCATCATCATTACCATATCATAATGAACTTTTTAGGAATATATTATATGTAAATTTTGAAATTATCGAATTTTTTTTTTTTCAATAACTATCATATTTTCTCATCAAACTGAATTCCGAAAAAAAAATCCAAAATTTAAAAATTAAAATTAATTTTAATCGTTTGACGCATGTTGGTACATTCACGGATACATAAGTTAAATTTATGCTTTAACATTTGAAAAAAAAAAAAGGAAAAAAATCAATCCTGCCTTCCTGGCTTTAGTTTGCTGTTTTCTTCCATTATCTTTTTGTTCGCGACAGTTTGTACCAACAGAAAAAACTATTTTAAAAAAAAGAATTGACTTTCATTTCTTATTTAAGTCCGAATTTTCAGTTCAACACTAAGTTTTAAATTTCAAATATCGAAATATCTATCTATCTATATATTCATATCTATATGTTACTTCAATTTCCAAATTTTATCCAAATTCCAAAGATACAAATTTCGATTTCATTTCTTATTTCAGTTCGAATTTTCAGTGATGATTTGGTGCAATGTAATAAAAGTGTTCAATGCCCAGTAAAACCTGGGAAGCAGAAATTTCCAGTAATGTTTGACTTAAGTGAAATTCGATTCCTTATCAAAATGCTTCCGGATAATAAGCCGTACAGGATACAAGTTGAAATTGTTAATCAGGAAAAGGAATTATATTCATGCATTAATCTTTGGTCTATAATAAGAACTGTCAACGATTCTCGTTAATGATTAAATTATTAAATTGTTCATACCACTTAATGTAATGCTTCGTGATACTTCCAGTTGCATAAATAAATAAAACATTTTGTTACCTGATCAATTTTAATTAAAAATTCTCCCTACAGTTTCAGTACCTGAATCTAATTAATGTGGATTTAGATTCGAACTCATTTAAATTATTTAAATTTGAAATTAATTTACTTTTGGTGTAGCTATAATATATGGAAAATGAATGAATTAAATATCAAATAAGAGATAGTTAAATTCAATTTTTGTTTCATATTCACATAGAATTAATTGTGCTTGCATAAGATAAAATTGGAACGCCCAAAATTGTCAAATTGCTTGAATTTTTCAGTATTGTCACCAAATTGAACTACAAATTTAACTCGAAATCTTAAATCCAAATTCAAAGGTTTAAATTCAAAATTGAAATTGTGTATTATAGGAATGCCCAAAAAAGATAACAATAATTAAGTCTGTGCAACTCTTAATAATCTTAAAAAATATTGAAAATTTAAATCATACTGTATTAAAATATATTTCATTATTTATAGCTCCATTAAATTCTTCTACCTTTAATCACCAATTTCTCATATAGTCATAATTAACATAACATATCACCATAATAACATTATAATTAGCAATAATTTTGTCCTTGTTATGGAGGAATTTCTAAAAGTAGAATATTACATCACGAAATTTTGCAGTAGGATAGAAAGTTAAATTTGATGATTAAATTGATTTGATTGATAATATCTCAAAAACTATTTAATGATACTAAAGAGGAAATAATTTCATGGTACTATTTTGTATCTGATACAAAATGGAAAAGTATATGTTTACGTTATCACAGCAAAACTATTGTTGAAATTACGTAAAACAATGTTTTCCAATCTGATGGATGGATCATGAAAACTAAAATATGGTCCTAAAATATGGTCCATGGTGATTGGAAAAGCTATTCTTGTCAATATTTGATAAAGTAATACATTGAAAGGTCTGATTAAAGATTATTTTCATATTAGCAGAATTTTATTATTTCTTTGAACCCTTTGAAGTCCATGCCATAAATAAAAAAGTAACCTTTGGATAAAAAAAAAAAAGAAAAGTTTGAAACCATAGATGTAAAGTTCAAACTTGAAATATTATGTGATAATTTGATGCAACCTAAATTTGGTTCAATTTAATCATTCTGCAAAGTATAATTACTGAAAATTACATGTTTATTGTTGCAATTCATAAGATATGGATTAATTACGCAATTTAATATCTGTACACGATTATGCAATTTCATATCTTAATGTATTTTAGTTTCGGATAATATGCAAAAAAAAAAAAAATTAACAATCAAATCATTCCGTTTCATTCGTCCATTCAATCGGACGATAATTTTGATCATAAAAATTATTTATTTTTCAAAGAGTTAATAAAAAAGATATGTGTCCTTCATAAATTAGCAATTTTTATTCATAAATTTTATTTGCCTTTTAGAAAATTTCATGCCATGGTTAGGCTTGATGAATGACAATATATGTGAGGAAATTTTATTTAACCTTTTTTAAAATTGTTTCCATTACATTTGGAATTTATTTAAAAAATTGCAACAGATGATATGGTAAAATAATACACCGTATGGAAACAGAGAGATAAGATTACTTTGGTGCAGGAGGAAAAGTTTGTAAAATGTCAAGCCTTGAGAATATCTGACCTCAAACACGACCCAACATACACACCAACATATGCCACAAACAGTTGGCTTCTTTGTTTGCAATTCGAGAATGGGCCCAATCCTGTGGCCGCGTTTCTCATAATTTGTTGGATTTAGCTTCTGGATATATTTTATTATCCCCCAAAACATCCTACCTTATAAATCTTATCATTTTCTAATTTTGCGAAAAGTATTCTTGCTTGTAAATCATGTCATTTTCCTATTTTTCTGAAAAACATCCCATCTCATTCTCTAACTTTTCAAAAAGTGTTCTGTTTGTATAATTCTCTAATCCACCGGAAAACATTCCACCCTACAAAACTTATCACTTTCTAACTTTACGAAAAATGTTCTATTTTACAAATCCTATCATTTCCTCTGATTTCCCAAAGAATTAACAATACTAAATAATGTCATCGGTATTTCTTTAGTGCCTATAAATTCCAGGTCAGAAGTTACCTAAGTCAATTAAGGTCAACTTATCAATTGAGCTTGTCCTCAACATCAAAAAACATCATTGAAAGATATGTTTCAGGGGATTTTCCATCGTTTGATCCAATTCGAATTTAAATTCAAGAAAAAATTTCAAACTTTATCAATATGCTGTGTACATTACTCATCAACTCACGTTGAAATAATTTGTGAGATTTCACGTAAATGAATTGCATTTTTATTATGTGGCGCAATTGTTGAACATAATAATAACCAAAGGTGTCTTTATCTCAATTTAATTTGCAAACTAATGTATTTATTTATGATTACTTACGTGTACCTTCATGTTTCTACATATGTCACGCGTGTGTTTGATAACTTATCATTCTTTACGAATGTAACACGTTCATTAGGAAGTGCTTTATATTTGTGAGTCAATGAGTGTTACAATTTTACTTATGATGTTTAAAAGTTTGAAATATCGTTAATTCATTTCATATGAAGGAAGAAAAGATACCTGTTCCAAATTGAGAATTTTCAGGATTTTTACGAAAATTTTTGTTTTTTGTCGTTATTTTTGGTATTAATCGAGGTCAACCAATTGATAGAATGCGTTCGAGAAGTGCTTCTAGTGTACGTTTGGATTATTTGATGCATCTTGTTGAACAGACAATTTTGAAATATCAAGATCCTGTTACCGGTTTGTTCACCAATAACATTGAGGTATATTTACTCGTAAAATAAATTTAAATTGAATTACAGAACTAAATAGTTTGTGATAAGGATAACGAAGAGGAAGAGATCTGTTTAGACGAACAATTGACTATGAAGTAATTAAGTAATTGTTTGCTGGTTGTTAATATTGTCTAGTAATGAATAAAAAAAAAAAACTTGGTTATTGCATTTATCTATCCTTTGCCGCATCAACTTGTTATTTTTTCGAACTAATTTTTATTTCACAAGTAATTAGATTGGTTAGATAATTATTATAGTCTCAAATTAAATAATCGCTTTAGTTATAATGGATAGCGATTAAAATCCAAGTATTATTTCTGCTTTAAATTAAGTTACTAACTATTAAAATAGGTGGAACTCAATTATTTGTTTTATACGGGCAGAACAACTAAAGAATAATCTTACGTTACCATATTCTGATAAATGTTAGCGATGGGAAAATTTTTCTATAACAGAGGTCTTTCCAAGCAATATGTAGTATGCTAACATTACTCATTTAATAGGTATTTGTTAGTTTGCGCGATTTCAAGAAATTCTATTATTAATATGGGGAATATAACTAGTTCCTTTTCAACTTTTTTATTTTTCATTAGTTAACATTTCACTTTCTATCTCCCATACCTTTTAATGTTTTGTTCATTTTTAAGGACTCACCTGATCATGCTTGGGTGCGTGATAATTTATATGCAACACATGCAATATGGGCAATGTATAGAGCATATCAGAAAAGTGCCGACGTCAATGAAGACCTTGCTAGAGCAAAAGAATTGGGATTTACCTGGTAAAATGATTGATTAAATATAGAATATCAGTATTGACAAGTGTTTTGTTCCTTCATTCATTAGATTATCAGTTTGCTTATTTGTTTGCGAATCATCTGGGCATCTTATAATGGATCGGAAATATTGCTCTGACACTGTTCATTAAATTCCATGAAATAAACAATACTGATAGCAGTATGACAATAATCTAATTAAATTATCAAATGATATAATAGCATTATGAAAGTTTTATTTCCTTATCATAACATTAGTATATATGCATAAATTTATTACGTATTTTTTCATTTTCATGATATCGGTGCTATTTTCGATTGTTTTTTAATCATTTTAGTGTGAAAACTATGCAATCATTGTTAGAATGTATGATGCGTCAATCGGACAAGGTTGAACAATTCAAGTTGCATCAGCGTAAAAATGATGCTCTTCATGCTAAATATTCTGCG